AAAGGTGTCATCCTCTCGTCGCTGAGCTTTCAGGAATTGCTTCGCCTTCGATGAAAATTCGACCATTGGTGCCATGACCTCAGCTAGCCGCTGCTTCAAGACTTCATGCTTCGCTTCCAGCCGCTTGTAGTGATGCAACACTGCCGCTATATATTCGAGTTTATTCTCAAACTCAGCCGGTCGAGGCTGCCTTATTTCCTTGGCATTCTTCATGTTTTTCAGCACGTCTCGTTCGTCCACCCCTCGCTCGCTGCAGCGCTAACCACCGGAGATATCAGTGAAAGATGCTGAATTTCTGTAAAAAAAATAAGACTTTCAAGTAGTGAAAACTGAACGAAATGTTTAAGACAGTTTAAATACAAAAGAAGAAATCTAGAGGATCAGACGGTATGAAACAGTTAAGATAAAGAAAATTCATCAGGATTTTCAGCCTTAACTTCACGCGGTTTTTTGGTTCTCTGAATGAAAGATTAAGAAGAGTCTGAAAAACAGGTTTAATACATTTAACCTTTATCATTTCAGATTAGCGAGTGCGAGTCTTAAGCTACTATATATAGTGCAAAGGAGGATGAATTCCGACCCGAGATGCTGGAAGCACTAGACGAACAAAGCATTTTGTGGCTAACACGTGCCTGTCAAACTGTTATGACAAAGAAACGACACAGTGAACCGGAGCATAGAGGTCGTGCTACCTATGTTAAATGGGTATCATAGGAAGTGCTTAAAATATTGCGACCTTACGTTATTGTGCCTCGGGAGAAATGCCTACGCTAGGTGTTGGAAAAAAGCTTCTGCGAAAAAGCCAGCCCCAAATCCAAAAACAGTAGTGTTGCTTAGGCTCATGGCCAGGAACCACTCACCAGAACTTTGCTCTATTCCCGACTGCCGTGAAACCGTAAGAGTTCGCGAATCAGCTTAACATGTGTTTTGTAAACCTGGAGAAAACGTACTTCCAAATTTCACATAACAAACTACAGGCATGAATGCAGAAATAGGACATGGGAGTTCACGGTGAATTATTACGAGCCGTCGAGTCATTATATGTTGACAGCAGATTCTACTTGAGAGTAAGTGGAATTAAGTCGAGATCTTGAAAAGTTGGCACTGACCCTCTCCAAGCGTCCATTCTGTACCTCTCCTAATTGTGCTATATCTAGACAGGATGCCAGCCATGGCGACGAAATATCACAACTGAATAGGTGGAGACGAGATATCTGCTGTTTACAGACAACCTTGAGTTTTTTGGCATCTGAAACCGATCTTCAACTCTCTGCAAAGGTTCGCAGCCGAATGCGAGGTGGCCTCCATGCGTGTGAACATAATTAAAATGGAAAGCCTACTGGCTCCACGTTCTCCTGCCCAATGCTCTCTTCAAATAATTGGAGAAGCAATGGAGC